CATAGTCCGTCACGATATGGCAGTGGCTGCTGGAACTCCGTCGCTGGCAAAGAGAATGGGTTGAGCTGTCCAGATCTGCTGCTGCGGAGCGTCACTCGTGGAGAAGTACAATCAGTGATATCATTAGGGCCGCCTAGATTAGACGTGCTCGCAGCCGTACCAAGTGAAAGTTCATTGGAAACAAACCCCCTATCTTGATTATCGAGACTTGTGAAAATGCCAATAGAAGCGAAGAGCCGAGTCCCAGGAAGTAGTCTTGAAGAAGGAGACACGATCGCCGGGACAAGAGCTTTATTAGCCTGACGTTTCGGATTCCTACTCGAATCCATCATCAGAGACAAAAGAGCAGAAACGGGTGGTTGTTGCACAAGGGGCTGCGGTATTTATAGGATGCAGCAGCCATGCTACCGCATACCTATGAACGTTCACGGCTTCCCCCTTCATCCGGGATTGTCACACTTGGTGTGATCATTGCTTGATGGCCAACATTCGAGTCGATAATTGCTGCAATTTCATCACGTGTGTTGGATGTTGGCGTGATGATTGCTCGACCATCTGACGCGTTGACCCGGGTGTTGGGAGGAGTGTTCACCAGTGCGCTCCCCGCGTGGCCAACTACTCCGCCTAAACGAAGTCTCAGCACGCTGTATTGAATGGGAAGATCGTTGCACTTGTTGATGGACTGGGGGCCAGTAAACCATGATTCCAGTAGCTCCCGGCTCACTCGGTTGTCACCTCTTGCGAGAATTTCGGCCTCATCGAATTTAAATGTGTGGCCGGATCTCGTCGAATGAGCCGCAACTTGAGAGCTGGCGTCATTTCTGCGCACCGCTGCCGCGTGTTCGGCCATTCTCGTTCGGAGCTGTCTTCCGGTTTCTCCGACGTAGTTGCTTTGTCCACAACTGCACCAGATCCGATAAACGACTCCAGACGTTTCTAGCCGTGGCAGTGGGTCTTTCGGTTTCATGATCAGACGCCTGATGGTTACCTCCGGTCTGTGTGCCACTCCAACCCCAAGTGGTGCGAGAAGGCGGCCGACAGCTTCCGAAGGCATGGTAGCACGGCAGAAGGATGATCCGAGTGCTCCTCCAAGATTGCCACGCGAGACTTCGTAAGTACCGTCAAAGGATTGACCAAGAAAAGACCAGATGCTGTGAGTTCATGGGTGAAATCGGTACGAATCTGCTCCGGCGGAGGATAGCTGAACAAGCCCGCGAACAGAGCACGATACGCGACGCAGCACTGGAGAACAAATTTCGAAAGCTGCCCAATCCAACGTCGCCCAGAAACGACAAACGGGTGCACAACCTGTCATCAAAGGAGCTGACGAAGGATCAGATGCAGGTTTTACGGCACGAAGCTTCATTCAACACGACTGACGCTAAACCTGTTAACATGATTGCAGCAGTGGAATCAATCCTTTGTCAGACGGAGGCAACGGAGGAGACTAAGAACCTCATTCGACACCAAGTGTCGTCTCTCCTGATGGCCCACAGGCCGCGGGAAGTGCTGTCCAAGGTCGAACATGATGCGCTTAGAGAACTCAAGGCCGACAAAGACCTGGTCATCGTGCCAGCGGACAAAGGACGCGCCACAGTTGTACTGGACAGGACAGACTACCTTCAAAAAGCCAAAGGTTTACTGGAGGACCGACAGTTCTATGTCCCATGTGCAACGAACCCTTTAAAGGCGCTGACACGCGAAATTGATGCTACGTTGTTGGCCTTGGAGAACTCAGGTGCAATAACACCGACCGAAAGACGCATGGCGAGACCCCAAGATACGGCTTTGGCCCGATTCTATGGCCTCCCTAAGGTGCACAAAGACGGCGCTCCTCTCCGACCCATCGTGTCGCTCAAAGGGACTCCAACGTACAGACTGGCTAAGTGGCTGTTCCGGCGTCTCAAGTTCCTGACCGCTGAGTCAGACACCACGGTCTCTTCGTCAGCACAATTCCTGGAGAAGCTCAAAGGGGTGAGCATACATCCAAATGAGGTCATGGTATCTTTTGATGTTACATCCCTTTTTACTTCTATTCCCCAGGACCTGGCGATCGAAACAATTGAACTGCTACTACAAAGCAAATACGATGAAACGGAGAACCGTCTTGGACACGCCCAAATCCTTCAGCTCCTGAAGGTCTGTCTCAGGACGTACTTCACGTTCGACGGGACAATCTACGAACAGGTGAAGGGCACACCAATGGGTTCGCCGATTTCGGGATTCATCGCCGAGGCGGTCCTGCAACGGTTAGAGTCGCTGGTCTTCCAACACCACAGAC